TGATTTTGCCCTACAAGCTCTCTTGCCTTCGAGTTGTCTTGATTGGATGACGTCACTACGTTTTGACGCGTTACCGATGTCCTGCCGTTCATTTATTGAACAGCAATATGGCGGAAGGGCGATTTCGCAACGCAAAAGTTTCATTTTCTCGGCGGTCGTTCGCTAGATTTTTCTAATATTTAATACATATGTTATTCAAAGCGCATGAATTCGAGATATTGTTGTAAAAAGGTTTTACGGAATGATACGTTTTTCGTCACAGTCCCGCTTGCTTTTTGCTCCGACGATCGCGTTCGAAGAGCATGTACTCAAAACTAGTTGCCAGACCCTTTTAGTTCCGTTTACTCCGCCATTTTGAATTCTCAGGCGGGTTACCGCTGTACACCCTTTCCCGTTCCCCGTTCGCATTACCAGCTTTAGTAACGTCCGAGGGAAAAGGACAACGTTATGAGGCCAAATTATCGTAGCATGACGTCTTGCGCCGCATTTTAGTTGCGTCCGTAAATAACGTCATGACTTTTTCTCTTTACATAAGCGGCCGAAATATATCTTTTATAATGCCAATATTTGCCGACTGAGCGTAAAGTTCGCATTGCTTTCACGAAATTTCTTCCCAGAGTTCCCAAAGCACTTTCTGTTTCCAAATATGGTGACAACTCAGCTGTTACAAATAACCATTCTAAAGACTTGACTTTGAGGCAAAAGGATTGTGGAACTCCTACAGCCATTTCAAGATGCTTTTTGATTTTAAAATCTTCAGTCAAATTTCAAGTAGAAATAAACAAAAGACGATTAAACTCACCCAACAAAATTTTGAATAAAGACGTTATCTCCCGCTGAGTACCAAACAACTTCTCGATTATTTTTTCCCTTCGCCCGCTTGGGTTAAGAAAAGAAAAGGAAGGGGTATTAAGCTGGGAGGGGGTAATGATTGGGTCGGAATTTTTTTAAACGAAAGCCCTTGGCATATCACAGAAGAGGAATTTGTGGAGTTGAAACAAAATCTGCAGTACTGTGCGAGAAATTCGAAATATGATGTCATATGCAGATGTAGTTTCCCAAGAATGTAATTCAGCGAAAAAAAAACCATTTTCAATGGAGGGTATATGAAAGAGGAAGAAATTAAGGTTAGGTCAACGAGCATCCTCATACTTTTCGCGTTAAAATAGGAACTTCACTGTCAACCAAGCACTAAGCAATCACCAGGTAAAATTAATTGCGGCAAAACATCATATGACGGCGTTTACTTCCGATTCTCTTTCCAGGTGAGCTCAACATTCGAGGACGGCTTAAAGGCGAGTAAAATTAATCAGAACCGGTGTCCGACAAGCCAGACAACGTGAAGTTGGATAGGCTTTAGTGGGAGTTTTCTTGAACTTATACAAAAATCTGCGCAATTCCGACCAGTAACCGATTTCTTTTTAGTTACAAACAGGATCGCCCAGCGGTCTAGCTGTTTTCACTAACCGTAATGGCTGGTTTTCTTTCACGCCAGAGCTATACCCGGACGTGTAATGAGAAGAACAAAGCGTTAACAACCAATGAAAATTAAACAAAAGGGCACTGAAGCAGTGCATGGCGGTTAGGACTTCGTTGCTTATGATCAAATTAAAATTAGATTATGAGGGTCGTAAGCAACCGGATGGCAAGACAAGTGGCAGTCTGGTTGGTTGGTTCTTCCGTTTCAGCTTGCAACTCCAACAATTTAATTTTCATTGGATAAGAAATGTAGAAAAAAAATGGAAACCGTGACGTTCTTTTTTTCTTTTTTCTGACTGCAATTCTGTCACGTATTTCGATTTTTATTTCCCGACGTTGCCGCCACATCAGGGTATAATTCACTTAATCTTAGCACTGAGCTGACATTGCTGGATGCTGAATAATTCTCGCCAAATCTTTCTGCTTTGTAATAAAACTGTGGAGTATGAATAATACAAGGCCTTCTTTGTGACAAAATCTTGAATTCCTCCCCTTTGCTCCCATTAATCACCTTTCAATACAAAGATTGAAGAGTAATTTTATAATTCTCCTTACAAATTTACTACCTATCGTAAAAAAGGTTGTTGAACTAATCGTGGTAGTGAAGTGCTATCGTCTGACTCACGATGAAGTCACTTCCAATGTCAGTCGCGATGAGGTAGACTGTGTTCCTGTCTCCTTACGAAGGAATAACATGAATTACCACGAAAATTTTTCACT